GGCTTTGTCTTAATTTATGCTGGTGTATACAGATTAGAATCAATTTGTATGAGTACAGTTAGGAAGTTTTGTGTGCATGTTGGTATATGCATGCAGCATTGACCATATTTTAAATAAATGAGCAGTAATTTCTCCTAGCAAACGTGTAATATTTTAGTAAAGTGAAAGTGATGTTATAGCACACATTTTAAAAAAATCCGTGTTTTAGCTGGGCTTTGGTCTCGTCTGCAAACGCGGATGTCAGTAATTGCACCAGTGCACACAGTCCCTTTGATGTCGATAGGATTCTTTACAGGAGCTGACAGACAAGCTCTGGCAAACCTTGAAGTGGTTTAAGTTGTTCCTGCCCCAGACTCCCTACTCCACCCTTTCGCTAGGGATTAGTGCTTCCTCAGCAGAATTTGCAGAAGGGAGTATGAGCCCACACCTTAGCTGCCTCATTGCAAAACCCACAGGTTCAGCTCAAACCCTGCAAAATTCATGGCTTTATGCTGCTGGAGCATGCATTGGTCTGCGCTTGCTGATTCAGCGTGGAGAGCCATAATCTCCAGCAGCTGGGAGGAGCATACCACTGTGAAAAGTGACTTAGATTTGTGACAGCAAGATCCACCACAGCACAAATGTCAGTGTCCCTTCTATCACGTGCAAGTATTTACAAGATCAATCCATGCAGAGACTCAAATTCTAGGTGAAATTTTGTCCCCAGAGGGATGAACAGTGTTTTAGCCAAGGATATCAGTGAAACCATAGTTTCATTTGCAGTGTTTAAAAAGCCAACACTTTTTTATGTAACAGGACAAACACTTGTGATGATTTTGGCTTGAATAGGGACTCAAACAGTTTTGCCTTCTGTCAGAATCAGCAACAGTCACTTACAATGGTTTATTCATATTTGCGTAGTCACCATTCATTTATGTTCAACGTAACTCTCTGTTACCTGTTTATTGAAATGCAAAAACATACATGCATGTCAGACTGCTTGAAGTTAAGCTGTTACTTTTTGGTGCGAGGGTTAAATGTGACTAAAGTTTCAGTAGTTAAAATTGAAAACATAAAATGGTTATTTTTCTCCTTTTCAGAAATGAAATGTTATTAATCTTTATGGCATGCATAGTAGCAAATAGTTAATAGGCATGTATTTTGTGGCAGAAGTGAAGAGAGTTGTCAAGAGCATTAAGAAAATTTATAGGATTAAACTAGAAAGATGTATTTAGTTATTTAAAAGAAAAAGTAAAAAAGAAAGTCTCCCCAAATTCTCCATTAGTACCGGTTTACTGCCATTGCCATTCTTACCCCTTTTGTTAAGGGTTCAGTGTTCTATGTTACAACCAGTATAATAATATCATCCTTTCTTACCTTCCTCCACAGTAACAGGGAGAGAGCTTGTACGGAAAACTTCATGAGCTGATCTTTTTGTCTTGGCCATGTTTTCTTTGTTTGTGTTTCTCTGCTCCATGTACCCTTTTCCCTCATGCACACTGTGTACACAACAACGTTTTTTGCACCCTTTACAGTGACAAGTATTGTACATCATTCCTCATCCCAATCCACCAGCTCTCCTGCTCACAGGCAGCTCCTTGGTCTCAGAATCCTCACTGACTGTGAATGCAGCTGGGAACACGGCCTCCCTCCAACTTTTTTGAATCTGGATCTCGGAGCCCAACGCAGATGGTCTGTACCTTATACATAATAAAGAGTTTTTCTTCTGAGGCAGGCTTCCATAAATGTAAGAAGCAGACACTCTGTCTAGTTTAGACTTGTGTTTCTGTATCATTTTTTTTCTAAGTGAGCCTTGGGAGACTTGTTTGGGACTTCTTAATAGTTTATGGAGCTTGCTTCTACCTTGGTGCCAAAGGTAGAAACCTGTTTTGTCCACTTGATTTTTTTCTTAGGGAAAAATATACACATTAGCAAAATTAATCTGGGACGCAGACAAAGAAAAAGAAACAAAACAAAAGCACTCCAGGAACTGATGAAAATCATTTAGGTTAGGAAGATGTCTTCTCATAAAAGTACAGCGGGTTTAAACTTACCATGTTTAGAAATACTTTGGAGTGGCCTGCTTGGATTTTGTATTTTGTAGTAGGAGATGGGTCTGACTCTTTTTTTTTTTTTTTTTTTTTTGAGTTCCACTCCGCACTATGTTTAGACTTCAGTAATAAGCTATAAGTCAAGATCTATCCAAATCTTTAGGTAAGAACCAAACCAGAGCATTTTCGAATGTCAGGTGGTTGCAGCTCAACTGTCTTTGTTCCCAGCTTGTTTGTATATTGTCATATTTGCATTTTCAGTCTCTGCATTACAATAGTAATGCAAACAGGTACTTGTGTAGCGATCTATTTAATAGGTCTTGCTGTTCACGTGCTGTATTTTTCTGTTGTGTATTTTTCTGTGGAAGCTGCCTGCCTGCCTGCAAAGCAGTGTGCTCTGGGAGCTGAAAATGTAGAATGCAGGCAGGAAAAAATAATGGTAATACATTTAAACCAGTAGTTCTAGCAGCTGATTTGACCTCCACAGGAAATGCTTGTATGGGGTAGTATTCCTTGAAAAGATAGGGAAAAATGACCAGAATTAAGTTGAATTGTGATGAGGCAAAAAATTTTACAGGTATTTTGTTCCTTCTCTGTTTTGCATCTTGATGCTGTAGGATTACTTATTAGATAGTAACAATTACAGTTCAGAATCAACTCATGGATTTCAGAGCATTTGCTAAAACAATTTGAGATTCAAGTGCCTGAAAGAATAGTTCTCGCAGAAAAAATGCAGCGGTGTCAGATAAGACTCTCATTTGGAGTGTCAGTGCATGAGCTCTAAGGAGTGAATAGAGGGATTGAAATCTCCTCAGTGGAGGTTAACTCCAGAAAAGATGCCAGGTAGGCAGTGGTAATGAGCAACACAAAAATGACAGGATCCTTCAGGCGTGGAGGGACCTCAGGTGGGCTCTAGTTGAGCAAGCTAAGGAGTGACAGGAGGCCTATTGGGGCATTGCTGGGCCTCTCACATGCAGGTCCGTGTGATTGTTGTAGCCAAGAAAGGGTTGGTGGCTGCAAGACAAAGATGCTGTTCTCACCCTGCGTGCCTAAGCTATATGGGTATTTTTGCTGACCATCTGCTGGCAGCACTAACAGGAGCTGGCACTATTGCCTGGCCTCGTCTTGGTCTTCATATTAGGTTTCTGGGTTAACGATGTAGCTTTACTGATTTCAGGTCAGTATCCTGGATTCAAAAATCATGACATAGTTTAAATGCTGTAAGATGTTATCATTTCTTTAATTTGCTGTGTGGTTTTTGAGTGGCTTAGATGCACGGTTTAAGCATGTATCCATAACAGTGAGGGTTAGAGGTATATTTAGCCTTAAAAATTGCCATGTTTTGTAATTGCATAACTGCAGGAGACAGGTCTTTAAGAACAATACCAAATACCATGAAATTTATTTCATTATAAAATTAAGCAACACTTATGAGATCAAGTGTCTGATGCTTTTCTGTTTAGTTGAAACTTTTGTAAAGCAAATATTCATCTAACGAGGATTTTTTCAAATCATGAACTATGTCTAAACTTCTAAAATGGTAGCTGCTGTTATGTGCTCATCTTCTTGGCACGGTAGTTAAGGTATTCAGTAATACTCAGGGACACAAATTTGGAAATATGAATTGAAATTAGTCACCCTGCCACTATATAAATTGCATGCCAAGAATAGCAGCATCTAGTTTCTATAGAAAAGTATGGTTCTATAGAAAGTTATATGTTTCTGTATTATGTGTAGGTACCATTAATTTTAATATTTTATATTTTAAACGTATAATTTAAATATAAGAATGCATTTAATTTTATCAAATATATGTGGATCCCTCAGTTGTCCACATGCATCTGTGTGAGCAGTGTGACAGGAATTCCTTTCTCTGCAAGGTTTGAATCATCTGAAATGATGAATTTCCACAAACACACTGCAGATGGGGATGAGTCTCCCACGGCACATCAGGCTTGGCCCTTCTCTGGCAAATTGCAGAATGGATTTTGGATTTTTACCTTGATAGCAGCCTCATGGAGGAGGCCTTTCTCTTGTTAAAAAGCACGATCGTTCTTCAGCTGTTAATTAGTCTTATCTGGAGCTAGATTCAAGCCTGTGATGATGATTCCATCTCTGGCTTCCTGAATGCTGCATCCTCAGGGTATCTCCAGTCTGAATTTACGGACTGCACAGTTACTGAGCAAGGTACTGGCACTGTCTGAAACACAGCCACTCTCTGTGCTGGAAAACAGCCCTATAAGAAATAATGCATGGCATGTCTGAGAAATGGTTGTATTACTTCTATGCTGGACAATTTATCAGATCAGATTTACTCGGTTATTTCTCAGACTACGTGACTTGTAAGTCAAAAAGCAGGTGTCTATCCTTTTCATGTCGATGAAATGCATGGGGCGTACAGTTCAAAACAATTCTGCTGTCCTACTTTAAAATGCAGATAACTTCTTTTCTTTTACAGTTTGCCTCACTGTATAGAGAGCAGTCTGAAATATATGTGCACACTGATTGATCTGTTGCATTTTCTTCAGTGGTGCAGGGCAGCCTTCTGACAAAGGCTGTCATTCTGTGCAGTGCGATCACAAAGCTAATGGATTAAGATAGAGAAATATCTGGCAGTGTGGTGATAAAAAGGACACAAAAAGAATAAAATCTTTGTACAGGGAGCTGTGTGAGAATTTCTGCCCTTGCACAGTTCAAATGTGTGCACTGGAGAACATCTTGTGCTTTCCTGCATACACTTCGATATGGGACCCAATTTTTAAAAATGGGTGTTTCTGTAAAACTTTCATTCTTAGATTTGTACTTTTGTACTTACCTCTTTATATATTTGAGATATAAATGCAGTGCACAAGTATCCTTTTTATGGATAACACAAAAGCAGGAAGAGGAAAACCATTATAGACATTTGCTGATTCAGTTGATACATATTTCCATGTTTATGCATAGTGAAATTTTATTTTATTTTTTCAGTGCCTGGATGTAGCTCCCCTGTCTGTGTGAAATCTACAGCAGCAGAACTACAGTTCTGAACTGAAAAAGCTCTTCCTCATCAGAATCATCTTTCAACATGCAGGAAGAAAGTATCTGAAGAGAAGTTTCCTATTGCATCATCTGCAGGACTCCCAGAAAATTATTGTGCAACTTGGGGTAAGATTATAAACAAAACAAAACAACTTAGTTGCAAAGTAGAAGCTGATGTGAAGTGTGAAGGTATAATTTAGGGCAGAGAAGAAGATACTGTTTGTAGATTGACCTTTGTACTGAAATGTCTTTCAGAGCAATTCCATGTAAGAAAATTTTCATGTGGTGTTTCTTCATATGATAAAAGCAGAAGTAACAATAAGTCCAAGTTTATTACCAGGATTACATATATATATTTTAAAAGTGTTTTATTTGCTATTCAAAAATGAAAATATACATTTGTGTTCTCTCTATTTTTATGGTATATTTCAAAGTACAGAAATACTGAACTACAAAATACAACTTTTAGTGGAAGCATGGAGAGCATGAATCTCTAAATAATGCTGTAAATTTTGGCTTGCTTAGCTCCTGAGAAATAGCTGAAATTTTTGCATTTCATGCAGTTAACATCAGTCTCATTCTTAGTGTTTTTGGTTTGTGTTCAGTGATAATATCCATTATCTTACATTTGGTGAATTAAATTATCATAGAATCATATGATAATTCTTCTGGTTTATTTGCTTATTGCAATATCAGTTTGAGGTGTCATCAGGATACCTTCTATGTGACTGCAGTATGTCACATGCAAAATATTTTCCAAAGGATAGTAGTACTGCAGGCATTTACATTCATGGTAGTATAACAAATAATGGAATGATCACTTTATAACTTTAGCAGTTTGGCTAGGGCATACAAAAAATTTATTTTTCATTTGTTTTTAGTCAGACAAGCTTATAATTAAGACAGTAGTGGGCATACGCATTCCTGCAGCCTTTGTATCTCATCTTTCTTGCTGACATCAAAGGGAATATTTGTGGTAGAAGACATTGCAGTTGGTAATAAGTGTTTGTGGGAGAATCAATAGCGTGAGGATCCTTTCTTGTAATCTGATTATCCTCTACCCCCTATCATCTGTATGCCTGCAATGAAGGAAAAGCATGCTTGCATTTTTGTTATCATTCCAAATGCTGTAGATAAAAATGATAGCCGTACACCGGTACTACATTCTGGGCACTCCCCAGACCACCAGAGATATTAAGGAAAATGTGCTTATATAAAAACACATTATATTAAAAGACTTATATAACCATTACACAGTGTCTGATTTTTTTAGAAAAGTGTGGTGTGAGTTTCTCTTTTGCTTATGAATTTGTTGCACTGATTGTTGCCTGTATGGTCCAACTATAGATTAAATCAAGAACAGAATAAAACTGGAGGTGAACAGGAATCTTGATGCACTTTGTTTAGTACAGGAGATATAGGTAGGTGAATACATGTGTGTGCATGCTTATGTGTGTATAAATATATAATGGTTTAGATTCACTGTGTCTGAAGACAAAACCCTATATGTAACAGGCCTTGTACCTTAATGGGCTGTGCATCTTTTGCGTCAGTACTGACACAGAGGTTGGTAGATTGTCCTGGATTGTCACTGGTGTGCGAGAAAGAGGGTTGCTAGCAATGCCGTTTCTCTAAGGGCCGTTTGAGTCTATGATTCGATTCCACACTGCTTGGCCCTAAACAGCATGTGTTTGTTGGCTGTGAGGATCATGTGTCTCTGCAAAACCTAGGGATGATTTTTGTGGCTTGGATCTATACTTGAAAGGCACTGTGGGGTTGAGTTTCAAGGCTTGGAAATATTTGGACAGAATATTTGGATATTCTGTTGATGAAATGTTATCAGTTTGATGATTTCTCTCAGTCTATATCCTGAATTACATGCCAGTGATGTTAAACAGCTGAGATTTGTGTCCACCTATATTTTACACTGAATTTAATATATAAATAGCTCACCATAAGAGTATGATTATATTAAAAAAAAAAAAGAGAGAGAAAGAGGAAAAACAGTCCAATTAAGAGGTTCATTGTTCTTATTAAAAAAATAGGTATTACCAACATCTGTGGTGTATATAAGTCTGCTAATATACGCATCTCTTCAGAAATAAACCTCAGAATAAATTGGAATATCAGAGACTAGACTGCAGTCTTTTAAAACTTGATCCTTATATGTTTAAAATGAAGCGATCTATTACAAGAACTCTAATGGCATGAAGTTTTGTTAGTGTCTGCAGATCAAGGTTCATTCTCTGAGGAAGAAATGTACCTAATGCTAAAAGGAAGTAAAGCCCAGTGATACTGCCACAAATAATTAAAATAAATTTACCAGCAAACCATCTGCAATTGCTACAACAGATGCTAACTTGTTGAGCAGTAGAGTAACACTCTCTCTCTTTGTGGTTATTTTGTATCACAACTTTCTTAGTAGTAATCTAGTTTCTTCCTGAAAACTAACTACTGTATCTTTGGTTAACTGTCTGACAATCAATACTCTTGTTACTTTCTCATTCTGTTGGTTCTCCCAATTATTTTTTATTTTTATTTTTTTTGTAACATAGCTCAAAAGTCTTTTAATGCCCAATGAACTTTCTTCAGACACATCTGCTGGATACTCTCAGGGAGGAGAAACTGTTCTCCACACTTCAGGTTTCCTGGATGGGTGCAGTTGACTCTGTCAGCAGTACTGCTGTTATTGCATTGCTCCACGTAAAAATAGAAAGCGAAGTCAGTAAGTCCAGTCTTATCTCACCTGTTGCAAAGTGAGAAATGAGGCATTTTGAAAACAGATGCAAACACAGATTCAGTTTAAGTTTGTTTACTCTAATTTCTCAGTTTTTTTACTGAGGGACCACAATGTTCTTAAATACTCAAACCAGGAGAAGGGAAAGGCTGACTGAAATAAATGCAGCAGTGCTCTCCAATATATAGCTACTTTTTCTGTACATTGTGCCAGTGGAAGAGGACCCTTAAGAAAAAGTGGTTCAGCTATAGTTAACTTTTAAAATAAGAGATTTATTTTGAAGATTCAAGGAACAAAAGGAGCTTGCAAGATGTAAAGTAAAAAGGTAATTAAATTCACTATATAACCAGAAGTAAAGAAGAAAGGCAGTTTGCTTTGAAGTATTTTGGTATAAGTCATTCCTTCTTTCATTTTCCATAAACCTTATCTTTTTATAAATTATCAAACAGTACTCAGAGACTGAAAATATTATTTGAGTACTTCCAAGAATTTGTTTATATTAGCAATTAATGAGTCAGAATTATTAAACAATGATTAGCATATATGAATTCCCGTAATTGGAAACTACATATCAACCTAAAGAGGAACCTGAGGTAGATAAAAATCAAACGTGTGTATAGTTATATTTGAAGCACTAGATGTAATTTGTGTATGGAATGAGGTGAGGTAGGTGATTTTTTGCCACCTACCTCAAAAAGCAGTTGTAGATGGTTTACTAGGAACTTTCTTTGCTCTCATTTACCAATCAGTGCCTAGCACTGACACTTAACTTCAGATAATCTGTCTCATAAGAACCACCCAGAAGCTAGCCTTTATTTTTTCCTTTACTTTCAAGCTTTGATAAGATCAAAAGTAAGCTGTCTTCAGCTGGCTTGAGAAAGAGGGACAGTTTAAATATGCCTTTAAGAAACCAGCTTTAGATGCTGGGCAGGGCTCTAACTATATTGAGGTCATCATTCTGCTGTCTCATTTTTGAAGATGCTAGATGGTTCCAGCCTGATGTGGCTTATGGGGGACTGCAGCAATTGAGATTGATAGGATACTAAGGAGAGGGTGGTTATGTTGGAGATACTGGAGCCTTTTTGCAGGTGGTATCTGGTTTTCTTTGATTAGATCTAGACATGATTTTCAGGATATGTTTTGTGTATATTTTTAATGAATTTGTTTTGGTTTTAATGGTTGAGAGCTGGTCTTGCTAAGTGAAGGCTCCAGTCTGCATGACATTGCTGGAAAGTAAATTTAAGGGCATGTTATTTCTGAAGGCAGTTCTACATTTACATGGTCACAGATGCACAGACTGCTCTAAATTCATAGGTTCATGCATCACTACTGCTCTGACTACAAATACTGATAATACATGTAGATCAAAGAATGTAAAGAAAGCACAGTGTGTTCTTTTCCCATTTTTATGTATGGTTTAGCAGCTAGAAATGAAATTAATGCCATTTGTGGACAAGCTTCACAAGCCGGAAGTGAGTCTGCTAAAATGGTTGACATAATCAGAAGGCACATCTATAAATCTGATTTTTTACAACACAGGATCAAGGAATTATCTGGCTTTTCTGCTCTTTTCTGATTTCAGTTCTCTGGAGGTGGGCATTGCTGGGCAATGAAATTATGTGTCTACAAAGATCAGATTCCGAAAACTGGCCACAATAAAAAATGATTGATATTTCATTATTTTATTTATAAATAATTTTACATTTATATTAGAGTTAATTGCAACAATTTTTTCTAGGACTCTAGAATGAGGCACTGGAACTGACATAAGTTGCTCTGAGTATCCACTGGATTTAAAATTCTTGCTGTTTGGATTCTGTCATGAAATGGTTGGCATCTCAATAATCATGACAAGTGTGTATGTTGGCAAGGAACAAAAAATGGTGGTGCCTCTGAAGTTTTGCAGGAAGTATACTGCCTGGAGATGGTAAACAGTTGAGCCATTACTAATGCCATTCTGTTGGCTGTGTTGCAGCTAATCTCTAAAACAAAGAACACTGGTCACACATTCTAGTTGGTAATAAGAACTACTGTATTTGTGTGTTTTTTTTCAAGTGTCTTCTGACACTGGAGTTCTCATGTGCCCACTTCTTTTGTTGTTCTTTTGATAATAAAATAAATCTGACTACAAGCTCTCTCTGCCTTTAAACGGAAGTAGGGACTGCTTGAAAAAGCAAGACCCTCCTAAAATTTTTCCCTTCTAAAGGAAATGTCTGATTTTTCATTTGTCTTTGATCCCATCTCATCAATGCAATTTTAATCCTTCAAAAAATTGAGCCTGCAGTTCATGATAGTGCAAGACCGGATCCCTTCTATTATCATATTTTTAGCAACAATTATTTTGAGCATTTGCAAAATGAAAGGCCTGCATCAATCTCAAATCTTAGCCCTTAAAATTTGCTGTAACTTGTGCAGGAGAGACACTGGAGGATTGAATCCAACACCTTTGTTCTCCTCAGAAAAGACAAGTTAGATGTGAGCTTTTTCTTGTTTTGGCTTGATGATTTTCTCAGTGGCTAAGTCAAATTAAGTGTACAGTAGCCTCTCAAAACAATATCCATTCTCACATCTTTGTTTTCAATATTTCAACTTACACTCTAAAGAACATTAATCGGTGTTTTTTCTTCTTTGAAACATAGCATGTTTACTGACCTAAGAATGCTGTATTTGCTATACTGTGTCAAGCCTTCTGGGGGTTAAGTGTAGCACATTTTGATGTGCTGGGTGTCATGGGAATGGTAATGGCCACCTCCACATCTGAAACAAGAGCCCAAGAGTGATGTGAGGCTGTGCCTGACAGGTGCACCCTCAGCTGGAGGAGATGAGGTGCTCGGCACCTGTGGAGCGACTCCTCCCAGTAGGGAGGCACCAAAGGGGAGCCTTCTTCCTTATGGGTTTTACAATCTTCTCTGAGCAGAGCTTCTTACTGTTTTTCAGAAATTATATACTTGATTGAGACATAATTTTCCTTCTGCTTATGGAGCTCAAATTCTCTTAGAGGCACAAATTAATGGGGAGATAGGTTGTTTGCTGCAGAGTTGAGGAGCTGTGCTGCAGAAAGAAAAATCATTGTTAGGTGATTTGTTAGGCTTAAGCAATGCTTCCAGAAATTTTCAAGAAAGAATGTTTACCTGCAATTGGGACTGACTGTCACATTTTCTTAGGACACTCTCCATTAGACAATATTGAAGTTTCCTTAAATGTGGTCATTATGTTTCTTTTTGTAGACTTCTAATGTTTTACTTAGGAGGGAGGTGAGGGAGACTTCAGAAGATTTGGAGGTTATTGCCAAGGTTGTCAAGACAATCTCCTGCCCCTGTGGCTGTGGCAACTCAACTGGAACTTGGAAAGAGGAGCACAGTTTGCCAGTTAGAAAACATGGAAATTTTATTCTCATTGCACCTGACTGATATACCTATGTATTGTATGTATTAAAGCTCTCAAAATATCTGTTTTAGAGAGAGGCTGCAAAGATATGGAGTCCTCGTGTTATTTACCTACTGTGCTGTGCACAGAAGGATGGTTAGCATCAGGCAAGCTACGAAAGACCCACAGAGAAGAAACATCTGATTAACAGGAAGTTAGCCCACCTAGAAGTGGACTAACGAATCCCCTGCAAGGAACTGGACCATTGGGAACACTAAACTTTCAGACCAAGAGAACTTCATACATATATGGGAGAACTGTGGCTGTTACATGACACCAACAATGGGAATAAACATGGAAAATGCAGGTATGTTTATATATATATATATATATATATTTCCATAGGATAAAATGAAGAAGTAAAATCAGGAACTCTGGAACAGCTGAGAAAAATATTTGGGGAAAATATATAGCAAGGTAGCAGCAGGATACTTTTCTCTAAATCCCAAAAGTCTGAAGCGGAGGAAAGGAGATATTTGCATCATGGAGCTGAGAATTCTGGCATCCACATGTAACTTTAGAGACATAAAAGATCTCCTAATTAGAGACAGGATTATTTGCGGGACACGTGATTCCAGTTTATGGAAGGAATTGCATCTAATCCTAGCAGAATGAATCAAAAAACAAGAGCAGCTTAACTGTCCAGGGAAGGGAGTAAAACAATGACAGCCACTCCTGCAATCCGCTACATACACTCAAAGTGAAAGCAGGAGACATGACAGAGATAGGCACATGGAAGATGCCACTGTGACAGTGCACAGGTACTGTCTTATGAACGGATAGTGGAAGGAATGTGGAAACCATCCCTACTCAGGCCTTAGTGCTGCATGCAGCCTTTTCTGTGAAAAAGCAGCTGCACATGCAGTTAGGGAGAGATAGCCAAGATATGGGAGAATATCTAAAGCAAGATGTAAGTAAATTCAACATCTTGTTGCACATGTTCACTGCAGAAAGGGCAAGCTGCCTCATTTTTTCAGCTACTGATTGCAGTAACTGCATTTGCGTAGTGTTACTTGATCAGCAGCCACTCGACAGCAGTAGGAGCATGGAGCTTGCAGCGCTGCTGCAAGTCACAGCACTCTGCTCCTCTGTGCTGAGCTGTGCTGAGGAGCAGAGGGCACTACAAGTACCACCACAACATGGTGAGGCAGTGGGGAAATAAAGGCAGTGAATGGTATGGGAAAGGTTTGTGGGAACGGATTCACAAGAGTAGCTTAGTAGTGAGCAGCAGGACTGTGGTGCATGTATAGCTGACACCTCATGGACTCTTCCACCCTCAGTCAAAGACAAGGAGGTCAAGAGCAAAGCCAACAGGCATTTCAGTGGGATACGGATGATAGTTTCAGAGTTCGGCATGTATGAAGGAGTATGAAATCAAATTGGTCAAGGTGGGCTGCTGGTAAAAGCCAGCTTGTAGGTGTCTTTTGGTTAGCAGCCCCTGGCCTGGCTAGTAACCAAACACTTGCTTGAAAGTCACAACAGCAGCTGTCAGAAGGGAAGTTGTGGTGACCTGCCTACAGCTTGGAGAGGACAAGTAGGAAGATAGCGTTTGAAAGAGGCACCAGGAAGTTCAATCTGTTTGAGCATGACCTGAATGTTACCCCCATTTGCTGTGTTTCTACATGCCGTTCTCTAAAGAAAAGCCAATTATATCTTGGAAGAATAGATGCCTCTCATGTTGTTATTCATCATGTGGTACATGAAATGCTAACAACAACCAGAAATTGTGAGTTAACCTTGTCCTTTCATCACATATGGTCATCTCAGTTCCTAGACTGGTGACTGCTCAAAGCTGCCGGAAAATAGTTGGGCTCCAGACAACTAAACTTTTATACCTCAGTACAAAAGGAGTAAAGATGAGAAGGAAAAATGATTGTCTCAAGGGGCACAGCATAGTGGTTTGAGTAGTTCTGCTTAGAAAGTCACTTGTGGCTTTTATAATGAGGAACTTAAGGTTTGAATTTCCAGACTTATTAGCTGTACATTTGTTTGTTTTTTATTAGCTTAATATGCTGTGTGCCACATTTTCTTTGGGGTATTGAGTCAAGTGATAGATTCATCCAGTTTAGCTCTAAATGCACGTGCTTTCTTTTCCTTAAAATTTTGAACAGCTATGTCTCAAATTTCCATGATGACTTTATTTAGTGCCTGTGAATTTTTGGTACAGCATCTAATGTTTTCTGTCAAGTTATCTTTCTAAGAATGTGCTTCTGGCTAATGTAGAAGGGTAATGTAGCTTTTGTTTGCTCTCTTTCTTGAGCAGTGAGAATTGGAATTGACTTCTTAGGTGAGCAGACACAATTAAACCACCTCAGTCTATGAAAGGATCACTGAAAGTTTTCAGCCCCAGAGCTCTCTGCTCTAATAGGAAAGAAAAACAAGTTTTAAAAAGTCTGAGAAAGGCATGGCTATTAAGCTAATACAGTATACTTCATCTAGCTGCTAAAACCCCTGACTGTTAACAGTGATTAAATATAATTGCATCAATAGAGATGTTGTTTAAAAAAATATAATTAAAAAAAAAAAAATCACCCTGAGCTTCGTTAGAAGCTATCTTTAGGAAACCCCAATTCCTTGAGTTTAAAGAGTTGTATGTAATACTGGAGTTTGATTTTGGGTAGTGCTTTGAAGTTTTTTTTTAACCAAGGAATATGTAGAAAGAATAAATAAACCATAGCAGAACAAATACACGTTTCTGAAGTATTCTGCTAGGTTTCATTATATATCTACAGTACACGTGGTATTTTCAAAAAGAAAGTTGTGCATAAAACTGGAAAATTAATGGAAAAATACTCAGACATCTTAAATCTCTGACCAAATAATAAAGATATTTGGAAGAATAAACAAACCACCGTGTGCTGGATAAAATTTTCATTGAATGGGATGGAAGGGCTTCCATTACTTTCAGTTAAAGCTATTGAATTCATTCATCAGCCTGCACGTTTCTAGAAGCTATTTGATATTACTTGATATGTAAAGGAATCAGTTTATTTCACAACCTGCAAAATAAAGTTTCAAATCTTTTTTCCACAGATTTAAAATATGAGTTCTGTCATGTACATAACTCTACAGAGTCTTCCAGAGGTGGTACAATTTCTCCAAATGTATGTGCTCTGAAAAAGTTCTTCATAGACAGTACGCTGTTAACAAATTAATCAGTTTGGGTATTATGCAGAATACCACATGCTCTTGTGTATCTTTGGAGCTGAAGTGGATATTTGCAGATTAAATTTTATTGCACAAATCATAGGAAATAGATGTAAAGTGAAAGGGGACTGTAAAACCTCCTTCAGTAAAATACTTAAAAGTTATGAAATAATCTAATTCTTACTCAGTTTTGTCTCTGCCAATGTTAAATATTACTGCAAGTATTTGTTGCAAGAACCTCAGTTACTACTAAGACAAAAGTATGATAGTGAGTCCTGTTTGCTAAGGGAAATCAGATACTACAAATGTGTTCCAGAGGAATAATCGTGTGTTATTTGTGGGTATTCAAGAGAAGCGATAATTTTTAAACAGAGAATGCTATTGATAATGTTTTTACTGGGAAACATTGTAAAAATGTATATAGCTATTCCTCTAAAACACCAGAGTTTTATGTCCACATCTTGAGGTGGGGTGAGGTGCTGAACTAAATTTAACCATTGGCAAGTCTTTTTCAAATATAGGCACATTCTGTTCTTTAATAAGTTAAATATATTAAAAAACAAACAGAAAAAAATGAGAATGTGTTGATACTTAGGGCATCTAATGAAATGTTCAAATATAGCTGTGTGGATACAAGGTAGATATGCACTATACAAAATGGAAAGATAGTGCAGATAATGAAAAACGAGTCCCTTGTGAATTTATTATTCCTATTCTGCTTAACTGTTAGCCCTTTATTGTGAGAATCTCACTGTGGAAAAATATTTTTATAATCTCTGTTTGGCATTTTTGGTCCTCATGCAATTTTGATTCATAAGTTGAAATCCTGTTTCCATGGAAATCAGCTGAATTGTTGATCAGCTTTGGATTTTTCCCAGAAATCAAGGCAATGGGGGACATCATCTAGGCTGATGAGTTGCAGTCATCATCACAATTTATCTTTTAAGTTTCTGCTATCAGTCAACCTAATTTTTAGTGAGACTGAGCTGCAGATCATATCCTTTTTGTGTTCCAGAGACTGTTAGCATATTTCAGAGACACCTTTGAATTGAAAGGGACTGAGTGGATGCTTGCTGGACATAAACCTTTCTAGTTACTTTCCCGATATACTGAGCAAGAGGAAAAAACAATGTGTGACTAACACATGACAAAAATAAAATAAATTCTTTCAGTTTTCTAGAGGAGGAAAAGCAATCTTAGGATTTGTGGGGGAACAGGGTCCACAATTTATCCTGATCACCAGGGTTAAAAGCTGATAGATATGACACAATCAGGTAATAATACCCAATTGTCCCAAGTTCTCAGGAACATACCACAGTGATCACACAGAGCTGCGATCTCTCCTTGTTGCTCCTGTGAAGAACTCAGGTACACAGAGTGAATCTGCTCAGATGCTTGAACCTGACTTGTCACAGCATTCTCAGCACTTTTGACCAAAAGTAGTTGTTTGTGGGCAGTTACTGCCTGGTTGTCAGCATCATGTGACTTCTTGTGTGACAGCTGTCAACAATTTCCTTAGTAGGAGCCAGCAGATCTGCTTCTTTTCTGTGCTGTCATTGCTAGTAATAGGTGTAGTTATTCTCTGATTACTTTCAGAACAGCTGAAATTACAATAAACATTTTACCTCTTGGAAAGGAGAAAGAAATCAAATCAGTGCTTGATACATAGCTTGGGGGGGGGGGGGGGGGGGGGCTAAGCTGAACTAGTTTTAATTGGAGTAGTAAGGAAAAGTGAAGCTCAAGATGCCAGCTTTGTCATTCCCTTAGCTCAAACTCATAACTCAAAGAACTGGATGTAGTAGAAATTGGCTACTGTGGGAAGGGTGGGAAAATAATACGATTTTTTGCTGCTTTGAATGTGTTCTGTTAGGCATTTGAGTGGGAGGGTGTCAGTGAAAACAGACCCTTCCCTGTACTGGAAATGCCGGGTGCTTTACTTCAGCAATATTCAGATTATGAATTTATTTCTGGCTTTCCTAATCTTTGATCCTGCCATTGAATCCGCAGGGGTGCAAAAATCCACCCACACAGATCCGATTTCCAAATCCTGGCCTTAATTATTTATGGTTTGGTTTGGACAAATTGCTGTTCTCCTAGTAATAACCACAGTTATTACCAGAAATATAGAACTATCTGAAATGTATATACATTATGTATGTA